AACTCCACCTGCAGCCGGCCCGGCAGCGGCCGGGCGCGGGCCGAGCCAATTCCCCGCCTCCTTGCGGCGTCCCGGCGGCCTCTCAATCCCTGGCCTTTCCCACTCCCACTCCCGCTCTCTTCCCCCTTCCTCTTTCCCTTCCCCGCCCCGCAGAGCTCCACCGCGGATCGGGCGGGTTCGGGCCTGGCCTCGCCTCCTCAGGGAGGGGTTACCGGCCCCTAAGGCCGCCCCATGGCCACACACGCTAGAAACACCCGCTCGACCCAAACAAACGTATGCAAAATAAATAAACGGGATAGGAAGAGGGGAAAGAGGAGGTGGCCTGGCCTCTTCCTGCTTTTTCACGATATTCCAGTGTCAACAGGAAACCCATTTGTTTGACACTTAAACAAAAAGAGGACCGGGGCCGAACTGGGAGAGATGGCACAGCTGGGAGCTGCTGAACTTTGGAGCAAACTTGGCTTGGTGTTGGGTCGAGCTTCTGCGATGCAAACTTTTTTCTTTCCCTCTCTTTTCGCCCTTAAAAATCTAGCCTTGCTGGAGCACAGAGGATTTTTAGGGCAGTGAAACTACTATGCGTATGATTCTGTGATGGCGGATGCCTTTGTCCAAGCTCATAGAATGTACAAAACCAAGAGTGAACCCCAATGTAAACTATCGACTTTGGGTGATTATGAGGTGTCAATGCAACTGTGGCATTCTGGTGGGGGTGTTGATAATGGGGAAGGCTATGCATGTGTGGGAGCAGGGAGGGTACATGGGAAATCTCCGTACCTTTAGCTCAGCTTTGCTGTGAACCTAAAACTGTTCTTAAAAATAGTCTAATAAGACCGGCGCGGTGGCTCAGCCTGTAATCCCAGCACTTTGGGAGGCCGAGGCGGGCAGATCACGAAGTCAGGAGATAGAGACCATCCTGGCTAACACGGTGAAACCCCGTCTTTACTAAAAATACAAAAAAAAAATTAGCCGGGCGTGGTGGCGGGTGCCTGTAGTGCCAGCTACTTTGGAGGCTGAGGCAGGAGACTGAAGCTTGCGGTGAGCTGAGATAGTGCCACTGCACTCCAGCCTGGGAGACAGAGCGAGACTCCGTCTCAAAAAAAAAAAAAAAAAAAAAAAATCAACTGAACT